ACATATATATATGTTGTGTAAATGTGTTGTACAAATAAAATTTGATTTGACTGAATTTGATTGATTGACAAGTGTAAAATGTAAAATAATGCTAAAAACCTGACAGTATTGACTAAACTAAAACAGTTTGGCCAACAATTAAAAAAAACAACAAACAGAAATATGTTTAAGGACAAGTGATAAATAAATACAAACTTAAACACTTTTTTGTTTGTTTTATTCACTAATTAGTTCACATATAACAAACATTACAGACCAACAAATTAGTGCAAAATAACCGGGTAAGAGAACGAACAAATAAAAACACAATAAGATGGAGAACAAAGACAAAAGACAGAACATGATCAAATGTTGTCACAAGAAGAACAATGAAAATATTTAACTTGTATGTATTTTGCATTTAATTTTTTTTATTTGCATTATTATTTTCCTATTTTCTAATATTCCTCAGTTGAACAAGGGTCACAGATATTTTGGGTAAAAGAGAAACAGAAAAGTAAATAAATAAAAGTACGTACCAGAGCAAAGGATAACTAATTAAATTAATAAGTCCCCCCATTTCTCCTCTCCTCCCCTTTTTCTGATTATTGTGAAAAAATAAAACCTGCAGCTTTCTGTGGCAGTTCTCACCACACAGCAGCTGCTGCAGGTAAAATCTGAATGCACTGTCATCTTACAGCCAGCCTCTCCCACAGCCCTGCAGGCCGTCCCAGTGGGCGCTGACCCCACCGATGACCCCCACCATGCTGGAGGGACGGTGGGAACCTGCACACAGCGCTGGGGGAGCCAAACCCTCAACCTGCTGGTTATGAGGGCAGGAACATCCTGAAGTAACGCTGCAGCAACCCGCAAAACTTTTCTCTTACCAAGGCATTTTATCTGCCTCCTCCAAGACAAAATAATAAAACCGCTGATCTTTAATGCAAAGTTGATGTGAAGTTAAAGCAGCGGGACGAAGCTGAGCTTATTGCCTCCTGCAGTTTGTTTTAACCTAAGCAGACGTGCTGAGGCTGAAACCGTCTGATACGATCCGACATCATGGCTCAAGAACTACATCAAACATTTCTGCTGTTTTACATGAAAAATATTAGAAATGTTGAGTAAATTATAGGAAAATCTACACTGCATTTCAAAAGTTCCACTTAAAAAAACCCAACATTACTTGAGCAAATAAGCACATTAATAATTGTCATCAGCCCACATTTAATTACTCTGAGCTCCGTCAGTGTTGATGAAGAGGCGTTGTTTCTCCCATGCAGACATTTGTGTCTCTGAAGGCTGGAGATTTATCCACAATTAAACCAATTACAGAAAATTTAAAGCTTTTCGTTAAAGAGAGAAGTTTCACACTTAAATTGATACTTCTACAAATTGAACTAAAGCTGGATGTAATTTCTGCCTCAAACTTTAACTTAAGAAAACAATTAAAAATGAAGAAGGAAAGAGAGTAACATATCTACATGCAAACACTAGAAAACAACTAATGATACTGAATGAAAAGCGTTTTTTTATTTTAACAATGAAGTCTGAAAGTTTAAATGATCTTCTTGTTTTATTACATAATTTAAATATTTCTTATATATACATATTATTCACTGCAGTGTCCAGTTAGATCAGTGTTGTCCAAACTTTTCACCACCAGGGCCACATTTTTTTATTTTATTATTAAAACTGAAAACAATGTTTTTTTAAGACATTTGTTGTTTTTCTTTGTTTTGATATTCTAAATGTATTAATTAAGCAAGGTGATCATTTTTGCAGCAAAGGAGTCTGGAAGTCATTGTTAATCCAAACTATAAACAGGTTTTTGCACAATTATCATATTAAATGACAAATAAATATTTTCCAAAGGTTTTTGGATCGTCCTCATTTTCTTTTTGTGATTTTTTTTTACATTTGGCAACAAATTAGGGCTCTGCTTGTTGTTTTTAGGAAAATGTTATCAGTGAAAACAGAAACATACTTTCTGTCTCATACCTAAAAGAAAAATATTAAGATTTTATTTGTCTTCAAAAGAGCCTGAGGAGAAAATCTGCTGATCTGGCCGAACAAAACCATCCAGAGGGCCACAAATTGTCCCTGGACCCACAGTTTGGACATCCTCGGTTCAGATAAATCTGCTTTGTTTTCACATTACACCATAAATCAAACTCCTTTGTGTTTCCTGGTGTGTATTAATGCACACCTGCTGCAAGGTGCAAACACTGAGGCTCTTATTTTCTCTGTAATCATCACATTTAAATCTGGGATCACAAGCTGACCCTGAATCTGTTACACATGGTAAATCTTAATGGGAACTGTTGTCAGGGGAGCAAAATAATTAATTGTTGTTTGAGTCGGGAGCAGATTTTTGTATCACGCTTATTTATCTTGGAGTACTGGTGATAAATCCGTGCAAAACGTTGGAGTAAAATAAATTGATTGGTTGCATATTAACGGTTTTCTTTTCAATCTTTTGCTAAATGAAAAGTCTGTTTTATTTTATGGTGCAAACAGAAGCTGACGTGTCACAGTGACTCCAGCTCTGAACGCTCTCCTTGTTCTTCCACATATTGCAACTCATTTCTTTTGAAAAGTTTTCCAGCGGTTCACATCTAAACAGAACATCATTTAATGTTGCTGCATCGAGCCGTGCCGAGTTCGGGTACCTCAGGTTCAACTTTCCAATAAATATTAACTCAACCATGCACAACTCTGAAAATATTTCCCCCTTTTTTTCTGATAAATCTTGATTCCAAGTCCAGAATCAACCTGCGCTATAAAACCAGGAAGTTTCAAGGTTTATCAGACTGAAAGATTTATCAGCTGGTTCCTGTTCTCACTGACAGACTCGGTCTGCCTCTGTAAAGTTCACCCTGGTCTCTGCGTTGAAGTGTTTCCACTCAGAGGAGGGCGGAGCCAAACTGAGAAAGAAAAGTTATAGAAAGAAGGAGGAAGCGCTTTAATGTGATGGTATTTGTCATGATGCGTCTGTGTTGATACTGTAATTCAGTCTGTCTCAGTGCTACTTTTATTGATTTCAGAGGAGCTATCTATGTGTATTTGTCGTTATATATAAGGTCAATAAACAACTAAAATCAATGTTTATAACAATCGATGTTGCCTTCTCCATTATTTCGCTTCCTGCACACTGATTTCCTTTGATTTAATTTGCCTCTGGTTTTTTTCCTCCTCTCCTTGCCGACTGTTTGCCTGCTGCATGCGGTTGCCCCTTGCTGCTGCTTGTCCGTTTCAATGACGCGTGCCTGTGTTTCTGTGTCCCTGCAGGAAACACGTTGTGTAAGTCAGGAAGCATTGCCGTCTTCGGGAACGTGGTGTACAGCGGACTGCTGAACGATCACCTCTGGCATTTGGGAGTGCCCCTCTTTACGAGACTGGTAAGAGCAGCTGGGCCCCTCTGTGCACACTTACCTTCGTTTTGTCAGAAGAGTTTCACGCAGTCGAGCTGAATCCAGCAGACATCAGGTGTGGGATTCCCAGAAGCCTGTAATGGGCTGTTTCTGAAGGTTGTTCTGCTGACATGTGTTGTTGAACGTTAGCTCCTGCACACAGGACGTCGCAGCAGGACCTCTGCTGTGGATTTACTCACCTGATTTTAGCATTTAGCTCCAAAAAGCGCTCCGTTTAAAGAAGATTACCTCTAAAACAATTTGGTTTTCCTCCAGTAGCAGAGAAAAGGGTTGAATAAATAATTCAGGATGTTTGGTCAAATAATTACATGGTTTTAATGAAGAACTAGAGCAGTTGAAGCTGGCGTTAACAATTAATGACAGATGTCTTAACTCTGATTGTTAACCCAACGTTTGTCGCTGCTGCTGCAATGCAGAAGCAGGAATCTCAGCAATTTTCCCAAAGAAAACTAAATTCAGCACGGCCCTTTCTCTTCCCGTTAATTACCCTCTTTCCAAGCGGGTTGCACGTTTTTTTATCAATGTTTGTTATTGATTCAATCTGTCGCTGTAGCTGTCATTTATGAGTCAGGAATTAGTGTTGATTGGTGCACGAGGGTTGCATATAATTGGGTTACATTAAATAGATAATTCAGCTGATCTCATAAATGTCTGATGTGAAGGCTTGTTTGATTATCAATTAATGTCAAACTGAGATGCGAGAGGCTGTCTGGATTCCAGTGGGGTTTAGCTGGCAGGGCAACGTTTCCAAATAAAAATAACCTTCTCATCATGACTGCAGACGTCTGAGCAGCGAAATGATGGAAATATGAAGATTTAGTGTAAACCAGAGGAGCAGGCGCTCTGACCTCCATGAAACCATCTTTGTTGTTTTGTCATAAATGTTGTTGTACAAGTTCTCTTGTATCTTCAAAATTCAAATATACTTTATTAACGCCAAAGTTCAGATAAAAAATAAGCAAAATGTAACTAAATGAAATGAAGGTTTATCACTTCAAGTCTCTTCCTGCTACCTACTGTTTTAAAAAAATATTAAATTGGTGTTTAGACACAACTTCCATCAAATCCATAACGAACGTGTCGCCTAACTAAACCTCCTTTAATTTATTTTCACATCATATCAAATAATAAGAATATTCCCTAAATCTGGATTTTTGGCCTGAAGCTCCTGGGCGTTTGATGAAATCCTGACAAACCTCCAGGTTTTAAAAATAATATTTTATTTCAACAATAAAGACTCATCAAACAGCCCAACAGAACCGGCCAGGTAGAAATAACTTTTACAGATATTTGTGTAAAACATGTAAATTAAAACGGTTATTTTAGCCGTGTGTTTTAATTAGATACCAAGTAAAGTTCTGAGTCTGAGTTCAGCCAATTCGTCTGTTAGGGTTTTTCTGTTTTTGTTTTAATTACTTTTGTTACAACCTTATGTAGAATTTGGACAAAATTTGCAGGTACCGACAGATTACATATTAAAATGAGAAAACAGAGAAAAACAAAACAAATCTTAATGCATTTTTTCTGAATAAAATCAAAATCAAAACAAAATATTTTTTGAGATAGATTTAAGAAGCTTCTCTAAAACTAAATTTTACCACATTAATATCAATTTAATACCAATGCCCACTTTGAATCGGTATTATCAACACTTTAAATCGATCCGTGCGGCTCTGGTGAAAACACAATGTGAGAGTTTGAGAGAAAACTTCATTTTATCTAAATCAGCTTAAAATTAAGCCAAAGATTAACTAGTTAATGTTCATAACTGGTTGTAAAGAAACACAAAATTTAATCAGTTATCAGCGTCTTGATGCGTCTAGAATAGTTTGTGTTTTACTTTAAAGACCGAACTCTCTGTTTGGCTTCACCGTGACCTTTGACCCTTCAGCCAATAAAAGGTCATTATAGTTATCCACCTCCAGAGGAACACCTGGTGCTGTAAGTGTTCACTCAAGACTCATTAAGCTGCAGCAGAAGATGATAAAACGTTAAATAAGTGGCACTGGGATGTAAAACACACCACAAGCTGTTATTATAACTCTTTTAAAATTCTTTACAAATCAGTTTTAGCTTCAGTTCTAATATGAGAAAACAATATGTAGATAAACTGGACGAATTTTGTTTTCAAATGAATTTATGAAGGTAGAAATAAATTTACTTTCTGCTGCAGAGAAATAAACAAATTTTCAAACATAAGGAAATAAATTTAAAATAATGCAAAAAAATATTTCCCTGCTTTAAGTAGATCAAGAACAGTGAAAACAATCAGATATTAATGCAGAAAACGACATTTTGCCTGGTGACATGATTCTGAAACATCTAAAAGACGAGCACTGCTCTGGTGCATTATGGGAAATGTAGGATTCAGTGTTTATGAGCTTTGCCCATAGTAATGACTGGAAGTCAGGATTTCTCATTCTTTTGAGTTTAACTATCCCTCATTAATCTGTCCCTTGCAAGCCACCCAACTTTATTGGAATTCAGTGCTAAATTGCTGGTGTGTCTCTAAACTTTTTCCATGAATTATGCATTTAGCATAAAATCACTCCCTGCCCTTGGAGTCATAAACCAGTTGAGCTGCAACACAGGGAAGAGATTTTTATACCTAAATCAGTCCCTCAGATGGTCCCTGTGAAATAATCGAGAGAAATCAAATAAAAAAAGGATTGTGATGCTGGAAGCCTGATTTTTAGTCTCCAGAAGCCAAATTTTGTGTTTATTAGAGGTTCAGCAGTAATGGCTGCAGAGCAGCAGGGATTCAGAGCAAACATGAGTGTGCAAGACAGAAATAAGCATAATTAGCATCTAACACAAACAAGGTACAAGAATTAAGTTCAACTCAGGAGAGAAATATTACAAGCTAATCATTTTTTGTTGCACTTTTCTGGGGAAACTCGTCTTACCCAAGACATCTTAATGAACTCAGGACAGCTGCACTGCAAAAACACAAACTCTTACCAGGTATCTTTAGTTTAGTTTTTAATGCAATTTTCTGAAGTAAGACAAAACTAACTTTAAAGTGAGCAGTAGGATCTTGTTTTGAGTCAGTAATCCCTTAAAATTGTTAAAAAACTACTTATACCATTGGCAGATAAAATGTCTGGTAACAGAACAAGACATCTTTCATCAATATTAAGGAATTATTGACTTTAAACAAGCTGCTGTTTCTTGCTGAAAAGTTAGTTTTGTCTTACTTCAAATGTATTAAGATATTTGAACTAGAAACTACTCAAAGGTACTTGGTAAGATTTAATGTTTTTGCAGTTTATATCTGTCATGGCTGCTTTCAGAGAAACCTTTTCTTGCTGCGACAGAAAGGTGTGGGCTGATAGCGCAGGGCTGCGCCGCGCCGGGCTGATAGCGCCGGGCTGATGGCGTCGGGCTGATAGCGCCGCGCCGGGCTGATAGCGCCGGGCTGATGGCGTCGGGCTGATAGCGCCACGCCGGGCTGCGCCGCGCCGGGCTGATAGCGCCGGGCTGATAGCGCCGCGCCGGGCTGCGCTGCGCCGCGCCGGGCTGATAGCGTCGGGCTGATAGCGCCGGGCTGCGCCGCGCCGGGCTGCGCTGCGCCGCGCCGGGCTGATAGCGCCGGGCTGATAGCGCCGGGCTGATAGCGCCGGGCTGATAGCGCCGGGCCGGACCGGCCCCAGCGGTGGGATCAGCACGACGCGCTGTGAGCCTTCACATCCCCAACACACAGCCCCTAATTACTGCACAACCCGCCAGTTCTCACCCTTAGGCCAGTTCTGACTGCTCAATGCCAAGATGAAAACACTGCATTAATAACACTACATACAGTCTGAGCACACAGCTATGTTTAATGTACTTTTTGGATGTCTACACGGAGGCATTACATCAGAGGGATTGTTGATGTGCAGCGGCATACAATGAATTTATTGTCTCCCAGACAGAGCGTTCCAGGATTAGCAGATGGACGATTTGCTGCGTGAAGTGTAATGTATGCCTACAAATGATGCTTAATGATACCTTCCAGGGACGGAAGCGAAACATCACCGTTTTCAAGGCTAAATGTACAGAGTGTGTCAGAAAGCTGCAGACGTAGGATTAGGTAACGTCATGTTTCTTAGTTATTGGCTGATGTAGATGGACACAAATATCTTCTTTAAAGAAAAAAAGATGGATTTTTGCATTCATCTTAATTCTGGAGTATTTAAAACCACAAACATTGACCTACTTATTCTTAAAAGCAAATCTTTCTTCTGAAATAAGAAAAGAATCAACCCAGAAAATGTATAAGCTGTCAAAAAAAACTTTTTTATGTTTTTATCTACAGTGATTTGCAGATACAAATATATAACTGTTTTGTTCTTTTTATAAATGGAAATGGTTTAAATTATTATTGAGCAGATAAAATAAAAACAGCACTAAAGTTTGCCTTAAAAATGTTATAAAAAATGTTTCAGTTTTTGTGTGCTGTCAGCTTAACGACTTTGGCCCTGATGGCAAAACATTTGGTCGCTGCTGGTTTAGAGTTTGCAGAAAGTTGAACACATCACTAATTTAAAGCGGTTTTAAAAAACGATAAAAGCCCAAATGAAACTCAGCTGAGACAAATTTCTGTTGATGCACAAAGAACTGTGGCTGTTTCTGGTCCTTCTGCTTCGTTAATATCAGGATGCGGGCAAATTTCCACAAAGCTTTTCTGATAAATGGATAAAATAATGTTTATTACTATTTTTATGTTTAATTGACTCATCAGATAAGTTTTCACATTTAGTTTATTGGAAATTTGGAGTTTATGCTTCTTTCTTAAGAAGAAAAGTTGTAAATTTACCAGAGATGTTTTCTTATGATTAGAGGCATTTTATGCTGTGTTTGATATTTATTAAGTGAATTTTATTTATTTGTTTTTTCATTGAATCTTTTTTTAGTTGAATCTTCTTATCACATTTGAAGTTGCTTTGTGAATTTCATTGTGGTGCTTCATTCATACATTTCTAAAA